ATCATTTATACAAGCGTCCGGCATTTTATAAAATACATAACAGCAAACGACCGTTATAAATATGTTAAAGAACGACACGAACGTAAATGTGTTTGAGTGTCATACATAAGGCAGGGACTTGTAACTAACTCTAAATGTAAAATTTGCAAAGGTAAACATCATAATTTACTTCACTTTGACGCTTTCAAACCTGCTAATGCTCGCGTTGTGACCACCACCACCGAGTCATCGGGGACAACGCGCGCGACCGTACCGTTTAGTAAACTATTAACTAATCTGTGACCGTACCGACAACAGCTGCTCCCGCGTCGTCGCCCGATGCGCGTAGCAAGAGCGTTTCGTTGTGTACAACGTCCATTACCGCGCCGCTATCAACGCAATTTTGCGTATCCGAAGATTTATTTACACGCAATGTATACACTAAAGTTCTGCTATCCATTGCAGCAGTTATGGTTCCCGACGCGTATGGTTAGTGCCGTGGTGTGCGTTGCTTATTAGATAGTACGTCGCAGAGCAATTTTATAACGTCGGAATGTTGTGATAGATTAGGTTTACCAGTAAATAACGACAACATAAAAGTAAAGGGTATCGAGGGTTCAGAAAAATGCGCAAAGGGAGTTGTAGCATTCCAGTTCACTTCTCATTTTAACCCTAACATAAGATATAATATTTCGTCGCTCGTCGTCGATAGAATAACAGATGACTTACCGTCTACGCCTTTCGACACACCTGGTATCATCATCATCATCATTACAGCATTTCATAAGTCCACTGCTGAACATAGGCCTCCCCGAAGGAATGCCACAAAGCACGGTCCTCAGCCACCTGCATCCATCGACTTCCTGCATGTCTTACCAGGTCGACACTCCATCTTGTGAGAGTTCGCCCTACACTTCGCCTACCGGTACGAGGCTGCCACTCAAGAACCTTTCTTCCCCATCGGTTGTCAGTTCTTCGAGCTATATGGCCCACCCACTGCCACTTCAGCTTACTAATCCGTTGGGCTATGTCGGTTACTCTGGTTCTACTGCGGATATACTAATTTCTAAGTCTATCACGCAGAGAAACCCCGAGCATAGCCCTCTCCATAGCTCGCTGAGCGACCTTGAGCTTGTTCATACGGCCAGCAGTGAAGGACCACGTACGGATCTGAGACGTGCGCCTTCACACCCGGTATAGTAAGGCATAATTCCGGTGTACCACCCTCTATACAAACCACGCTCGGTTACGTGATTATGGGCACCGTGCCCGCTCTTCCCGCTCGCGAAAACGTAACCTTACTTTTTGTAGTACATTACCCACACACGCAGATGAAGACCAGCTAGATACGCTAGTAAAAAGGTTTTGTCAAATAGATGAATCTCCTTTCAGAACTTCGCCCACTAAGTCCTCGGCTGAGATAGTGTAAGCATTTCTTTCGCGAAACCACTGAACGTGACAAAGAAACGGGCAGGTAGGTACATAGTCTCGTTGTCTTTCCGGGATGATATATTTTTGCTTGGTGACTTATGAAACCGCTCGCAAACGTTTTCTGGTGTTGGAGAGGAAGTTTGAAGCCGCTCCTGAGTTTAAGGCCGCGTATGACTCAGTTATCTACGAATATATAGAAAAGGGCTATCTGTCACCCGCGCCGCTTGTTGACAGTGGTAACTGCTATCCCGTTTACATCATACCACATCACGGTGTTTTGCGTACAGACTACAAATAAGACCACTACCAAACTTCGCATGGTCCTCGACGAAGGTCATAAATCGAGTTCAGGCCATTCACTAAACGATATTCTCCATAGTGGTCTTAATTTACAAGGTGATCTGTTTGCAATTATTTTAAATTTTCGTTTTTTCGTTACCGCGCTTTCCGCTGATTGTAAACAGATGTTCCTTCAAATTATAATGAATAAGCGCGATCGTCGCTTTCAACGCATATTATATAGTTTTCACCCACAAGAAGAACTTACCGAATATGAATTTAATAGGGTTTGTTTTGGACTTAGGTCCAGCCCGTATCACGCGCTCCGTGTCATTCAGAAACTCATTGCGGATGATGGAGATTCATTTCGGTTAGCAAAGATAATTGCTTCTCGCTATATCTATATGAACGATATGGTTTTTAGTGTTATGTTGGAAGAAGAGCCATGCTGCAGCTATATTAGTAGTATAGTTGTAGCACGAATGGGTCGGCTCGACCGGGGAAGGACCACCCTCTCACAGAATACCAGCGTAAAATAGCAGCTTAACTTTGTTGTGTTTCGGATGGTGAGTGTAGAGAACCGGAGACCCTTTTTACTGGAAAAGCGGCATTCCATCTTAGTCCTCGCGCGTGACAACGCATTTGCATTTTGATTCGCAAACGAGGATAAATGTCGATGTCTATGGACCACAGCAACCACTTACCATTAGATGGACTGTGTGCTCGTTTGTCACTCCATCCTATAAAAAAATATAAAAAAAGAAAGAAGCTACATCAGCTGCTAATGACTGAGTTGAAAACGAAAAGAAATTTGAAACGTGCGCAGTTCGATTTAGTAAAATGGACATGTAATTACGACTCGGTCTTAATGGTGCTCTGCCTTCGTCATATAAGATGTCTGAACCTCGTGAATTTTTTTATAGGATAGGATGACAAACGACCACATAGTCCACCTGATGGTAAGTGGTTGCTGTTACCCATAGATATCTACATTTATCCTCAATAAAGAATCAAAATGCAGATGCGTCGTCACCCGTGAGGACTAAGATGGAATGCCTCTTTTCCAGTAAAATGGGTATCCGGTTCTCTACACTCACCATACTAAACACAGCAGTGTCAAGCTGCTATTTTACGCTGTTTTTTCATAAAACGGTATGGTATTTGATAAAACTACTCAATTTGAAATTTTGGGCTTGAGTTGGGATAAATATCGCGATTGACCTGACGAAAGTTGTTCAAAAGGAATGTTCTCATAAAGAATTTGTGGCAGTTGAAACTTGATTGGGACTATTGTCCGCCCCAGCATATAGTCAAAACCTGGAAAAGGTTTTGTATAGAATTACCGCTACTCAATGACGTCAAAATACCGCGACATTTGGGGGTCTTCAAACATTGCGTTGTACGACTGGTCGACTTTTCCAATGCTAGTGAGCGTGCTTATGGAGCAGTGGTATACGCCCATATTACTCATGCAAGCTAAGTTACGAAGCGACTCGTCTGCGCCAAGTCAAATGTCTCACCAATGAAGCCTTTGTCTATCGCACGTCTCGAGCTCTGTGCTGCCGAATTACTGGCAAGACTAATTAGACGCGTGCATGACACCTACGATTCACGCTATCATATTAGTGAGATGTACGCGTTTACAGACTCAATGGTCACACTTTGTTGGATAAACTCTTCTCCGCATCGCTAGCAAACTTTTGCCGCCGACCACGTCGTCAAGATTATTGACAATTTACCAGCCGCTAATTTTCATCACGCCGCGGGAATAGATAACCCAGCTGAGTGTTTAGGTCTTACACCCGAAAAGCTAATATCTCATCCATTATGGTGACAAGTCCGCCCTCACTCGCGCAAGACCTCTCGCTGTGGTCTATCACCAATACAGGCCATAATAGTATAGCGCTAGACAACGTACCGGAAGAGAAAATAACCGCACACCCCATTACTACGTCAGATCCAGAAATGTCTTTAGTTCAAGATCTTAGTAAACACATCTCCTCATGGAGTAGGCTCACGCGTATCCTTGTTTATGTCTGCAGATTTATAAATAAACTACCTCATTCCGGTTCGATAGCAGATACCGTGTTCGATATATGCTCCGCAGAGCATATGATAATATTCAGCGATATTCAAAAAAGTCATTTTGCATTCAACATTCGACAACTACGAGTCGGTAATAATTGCTCTCCCGCGCTGGCGAGGCTTAAATCATTTTTATTTGATGGCCTTATACACGTTGGTGGCCGCCTTAGCAACTCCGCTGCAAGTTCAGAATACAAATATCCGATTATTTTACCACGTCACGACGCTCTTGTAGAGTCGTTGATCGACCACTATCATAAGAAATATTTACATGCCGGCCCAGAGCTGCTCATGTCTTTGTTAAGGCAACGATTTTGAACCTTGTCCGCTAGACGAATTATTCGGTCCAGAATTAATAAGTGTAACACTTGCTTTAAATTAAAAACACGCCCGCAATTTCCTTTAATGGCTGCTCTGCCGGGACATAGAGTCACGCAAGCAGAGAAAGCTTTCGCTCATACTGGCTGTGATTATTGCGGCCTTACATGGTAAAATGTGTAAAGAACCATCTTTTTAAGGTTATTGGACAGCAGATCCTTGCGTATGAGGAGTTAATCACAGTCCTCGCTCAAATAGAATGTTTACTAAACTCTCGTCTTCTCACTGTGCTTAGCTCCAATCCAGCTGAACCGACGGCTTTAATACCCGCACATTTTTTGAATACGTTACCATTACGCTCTCTACCTGCACCTGATGCGGAGTCTTCACCAATTAATTTACTTTAACGACACGCACTCTTAGATAAATTGGTCCAGTCCTTTTGGTGTCGTTTGAGAACTGAATATCTGCATCAACTGCAGGTACGGCAGAAATGGACTCAATCCTCGGTCCCCGTAAAGGTGGGCACAGTTTTCATAATTATAAATGATAACTCACCGACCCTCTCCTGGCCTTTAGGAGTGATCGTAAAGGTTCACCCGTCTAAGGACGGTATAGTTCGTGTCGCTACGGTAAGAACGGCAAGGGGTACACTCGTGCGACCAGTGGTGCGCTTGTGTCCGTTGCCTACACAATAATAAACTCTACATCGCTCACATTTTTACATCTATGTATTATAATATATACATATTTATATTCGCTTAGTTTTAGTTAGTATTAATTGTTTTTATTACGCCTTTAAAAGGATAATAATATTATATATTATATATATTAAATATATATAATTATATATTATATATTAAAAGGATAATAATGTTATATATAATTAGGTGATTAAACGAACTTACCTTAAGTGAAGTTCAATCACAATTATACGAAGCTCCTTGTCCGAGATATTATTACAATGTAGTCTACGCTTTTCGTCGTCGTAGCCATCACAAGGTTCCAAGCTCCAACCACAAAAAAAAAGAAATGTGTTGTTTATGGATATAGTCTCTGTCAACATACCAAGTCAACTTCATTAGTTTAAAGCCCTTTCATGAACAACCCTTGCTTATGGGTTTTAAGGGACGGGTGGGAGTATAGTCTCGGACAAGGAGCTTCGTATAATTGTGATTGAACTTCACTTAAGGTAAGTTCGTTTAATCACCTAATTATACTCTCTCCTTGTCCGAGATATTATTACAATGTAGATGTTTAAAGACTGGGTTGTGAATGAAAGTACTATTATGCAATTTTTAACAATGTATATTAAAAACAATTAAAGTAATTCTGCTTACAATCTTTAATCACTAATCTGTTTTATTCTTAATTAATAAAATCAATTAACATGTGATGTGTTGCAAACGGTACTACTGAATAATAATGGATCTTCTGAGAGAGGTCTATTGTAAAACCTTGCAAAGGTTTCCGAATTTTTTGACCAACCCGCTGTCTTCCTTATGAGGTCCATACTTAAACCTGCCCGGTTCGCGGCAGAGGTCGCAGCATGTCTAGTGCTGTGTGCTGTAAAAATAGACATATCTATTCCTGCCTTACTCAGAGTAGATTTGATCCATCGGCTTAAGGTCTGCGATGAAGCCGCTCAATATGGTTTCTTAATTGTTAAGAGTAATTGTTCAGTATTGTGTCTGAATTGTTCTGTTCTCCTAATATATGATTTTAATGTATTCACTGGGCATATTTCTAATTTACATGTATAAATTTTAAGCTGTAAAATCGGTTGAAGTATATTTTTATTTGAAGTTTTTATTAAATCCGGTATTTTAATCTGTACCCCAGATGAATTAAATTTAATATTTTGTAACTTAATATGTGATAAGGTTTGTACCCTGTGGCCTGTTGTAAGTGCTAATATAGTGACTAACTTCTTGGTTAATAATTCAATATCAATGGACTCATTTGGGTATTGTAGTGCTAAATAATCTAGAACTAAGCCCGGATCCCATGTAACATTATATTTTGGTTTTGGGGGTTTCAACCTGAACACTCCCTTAAAGAATCGCTTTAACCTATCATCACACCCTACTTTTGGACCAATTAAAAGGGATAAGGCCGATCTGGCTGCGTTTAATGTACCATACGATGCGCCCGCATCGAAACGTTCGCTTAAAAATTTAAGGATAAAGGGGACTGAAGCTTGGTATGGATCTATATCAAGGGTCCTGCAATATTCCCACCATAATCTTAGGGTTGAGTCGTATTGTTTCATTGTATTTCCCGAGAGTGAATTTAACATGATCTGAAGAGCTGAAGTTGGGGTCCCACGTCTTATGTATGCTTCGCTGACAACAGCCCTGCTGCCAGGGTAAGCTGCCGATGGAGAGGATGAGACTTCCTGTAAGGAGATGACAATAACATACTACTGGGATTAAATAACAACAATTCATTCACCAAAAGGCCTTTTAACAATGGGAACCATGGTTGAGAAGGCCAATAAGGGAATACTACAATTCCTGTTGCTTTATCTTTTTTAATTTTATCTAAGCATTTAAGAACTAGGGAGAATGGTGGAAAAGCATAAAAAAAATATCTTCCCCAATTTAAGGTAAATGCATCTACCGCTATGGCTTCTGGATCTCTCTTCCACGACACAAAATTTTTGCATTTATTATTAATTCTAGATGCAAATAAATCAATTTCAGGGTAACCAATTTTTTCACCAATCCTATTAAAAGCCTGTTGGGATAATTCCCATTCTATGTTTATTTTCCTTGACTCTGAGTCTGCCTCAACATTGTCTTTAGTATTGATGTATGAGGCATAGACCCATATATTTCTTACCTCACACCATTGCCAGAGCTGTCTTGTAATATTGTTTAAATGAATATACTGTACTCCCCCCATCTTGTTTATGTATGCTATTGCTGTTGTGTTATCAACTCTTAACAAGATCTCACAATTACTATAATTTTTGGCAAAACATTGCAGGCCTAAGAATGCTGCTTTTAATTCCAAATAATTTATATGACATTTCATTTCGCTAGTCGACCAAGATCCCGAAGTTCTTTCCAATCCCTTCACTGCACCCCAGCCTGTTTTTGAGGCATCCGTATGGATCTCGATGCAAAATTTTTGCTGTTTAATATAATTATGCTTGTGGATATTTGACTTCCACCATTCTAACTCTGGATGGATATGATTTGTAATAGACATTCGTTCGTCATAATTGTCATAGCATTTTAATAATGCTAGAAATTTCTCTCTCTCTAATAACTTTGTATAAACCCAACCATAGGGTACAGCTGGACAAAATGATGTTAACCTACCTAATAATTGTGAAAATTCCCTAATCTTACAATGGCTTTTCCTTTCAAAATCTTTAATATTTTCCAATATGGCCAATTGTTTTTCTTTTGGAACAGATAGGGAAAGATCTCTTGAATCTAGAATAATTCCTAAATATTTACAGGTCTGTTTTGGAGTTAAAATGCTTTTATCAAAATTTACTGAGAATCCCAATTTTTGGAATAATCTACATGCTAGTTTTACATTCTCTCTACATTTTAACTGACTAGAGTTAAAGTATATGCTATCATCTAAATAACATGATAAAATGATATCTTTACTTCTAAGATAGGTACAAATTGGTTTCATTAGTTTGGTGAACACAAAAGGAGCAGAGCAAATGCCAAATGGTAAACAGTTAAATTGGTACAATTTTTCCTCAAATCTAAATCTTAAGAATTTCTTTGAATCTTCTGAAAGGGCTATACTGAAATAGGCATCTTTGAGGTCAATTTTCGCCATGAAACAATTTTTGGAAATTAATTCACAAGCTGTTCTGATATTCTCTAATTTAAAATGAGAAGTCTCAATGTATTCATTTAATTTCTTTAAGTTTAAAATAAACCTATAATTTCCATTCTGTTTTGGAATAACAAATATTGGGGATACAAACTGGCCTTCACAAAACAAACATTCTGAAACTGCACCTATTTCTAATAATTTCTGGATTTCTGTGTATATTATATTTCTTTCCTTTCCAGACCAGCATTGGGTAGGTGCCTCATATAAATTTGGTATTTGAGTAAAGGGTATTTTATAACCCTTTATCCAGTTTATTAAGACTGGGTCATTTGTAATATCTAACCATTTACTTAGACATTGTTTTAACTTCCCAGTACCTACCTCTAATGACGGTAGTTCCTCCTTGTCTGAGCTGGTGGGGCTCCCGTGTGTTGAGTCCTCCTCCGTAGTGGCTGACTGGGACGATATTTCTGTTTGTTGGGTTGTACTCGATAATTCTGCCCACTGCGATTGAGATGTTGAACTTGCAGTGGACTCTTCCAGTTTCCCTTTTTTGGGACTGTCTTTTTCTTCTCTACCGCTTTTATCTGAGCTCCTGTTCTTTGGACGGTCTGTGCTGTTTTGATGTTCTCGGGACAGTCCTTTCCAAATAACAATTCATCTGTCTTTGCATTCTTCAATGCTTCTTTCAGTACTATGGTTGCCCCTGACAATGCAAAATATCTTCTTGCAGCCGAGTCCTCGTAGAATATTTCTGCTGCTATCTTTGCAGTGTCACTTAATTGTTCCACTATATCTCTTGTATTTATATTCCCTTTGATGATATTTGTCAGTACCAACCCGATTCCTGTCATTATTTTTCCCGTCATATTTTGTCTATTTACCAAACGTTTATCTCTCTTAATTAGTATTTCTGACAATGATGCTTTTATCTCTGGATTCATTTGAGGAGCTATAACAGCTTTGAAGTTGGACGGAGTTAAGAACTTGTTTAATATTTTATCACGAGGTTCTTTCCCCAATCCTTCCATCATAATTTTCGTCCATCTTGTTGCTAACTGCATGTTTATTGGCTCTCCCACTTCTTTTGATTCTTCTCCTTCTGGTCCCAAGGCTAACAAAAGCTCCTCTGGGATGTCATCATTGTCTGAAATTTATATTTATATAAAAATATTGTTTTATTATAGTTTGATATGAATGAATTGTTCAATATGATAGCGCTTCAAAAACCCTTGTCTATCCTCAATGTGATAGCTCTAAAGGATTTAATTATTTCCCTGTCTAACCTCTAAGTGATAGCTCTAAGGGAAAGGATATAACATGTTTATCCTCACTGATAGTATGTCATCTGAACAGACACCTGCTATTTCTACTATGTGATAGCACTATAAAATCTTTGTCTATCCTCAAGGTGATAGCTCTAAAAGATTTATTTCCCTGTCTATTCTCAAGGTAATAGCTCTAAGGGATAAGATTTGACATAGCTATCCTCACTGATGCGTAATTAATAGCCCTTAGACCTCGGAACAGATAACTGGCATTTACTATATTCTAGTAGTATTTTCTATTTATGTCTGTGTGTATTTTTAATGTCTCATAAGAAGAACTCACCTGAAGCGTTTGTTTGACCTTCCATCTGAATTTCTTCGATTGTATTTTCCTCTAATGACTCTGCAATTGTTACATTAGGCACAGATAAATCCACTAATGGAGGAGTATTCTCTTTAGGGCCTTCAAAATTTTCTTTCTTCCTCAATTTCTTTTCTAGCTTCTTAATCTTCTTTCTAATTTTGTCGGGATTATCAGAACTTTTCCTCTTCCCCATTTTAGCAAGAAAAACTAAGCGCGAGTGCGAATATTTGAATTATTGATAATAATAAAGAATTTTGCAGTTCACTTTAACTTACGGAAGCAACTCAAGTTGTAACGGTAACGGTTATTTTTATTTTATGAGTTTGTTTTGTTGAGTAACTTTTTACTTAACAAATTTCCTAATTGATATATCCGCCGGAAATATATTTGTTACCTATCCTTACTCTCATACTTTCCTGATTTGTTTATGGTACACCTTTTTTACTATTATGTACTTATGTACTTTTTTACTAGTATATTTTCTTTTAAAATCTGCTTGCCTTAAGATACATGATGTTTTTACTCACCTGCTTTTCCCTTGATTATAAGTTAATTTATTTCAACAGTTTAACCTGTTATGTTCATCACGCTTTCGCTGCGCCATGCTGCTAATTCTTGTTATTTTGACATCAAAATGTCGTCCACTTACACTACCGTGCACTATACACAAAATACTATTTGATTTCCATACAATATCTATCGAATAATACATTATTTGAAATAATCTTATAAATACAATGATGGCTTTGACGCACAAAAATACGTAATGAAGTTGACTTGGTATGTTGACAGAGACTATATCCATAAACAACACATTTCTTTTTTTTTGTGGTTGGAGCTTGGAACCTTGTGATGGCTACGACGACGAAAAGCGTAGACTACATTGTAATAATATCTCGGACAAGGAGAGAGTATAATATATAATATTATTATCCTTTTAAAGGCGTCTCTTTAAGGGCGGGGGAAATGTTACCGCCACAAAAATAAAATATGTTTTAGTCAATCTTATTGACGTTCAGATTGCCTCTATAATACCTTTCATTGATTCCATTCATTCCTTCTTGCGACCGACAACCAGGTAGAAGAAGAAGTCTAAGTAAAAACACGCACGCACGCGGAAGCATATTGTGTCACGGTCGCTATATCTATTTGATTAGCATACATTTAAAGTCACGGCCGTGAATTGTATCAAATAAGTATAAATCGCGCAAGAAAACTAGGAGTGTACCACGCGAGTGTCAACCTGAAGTACGAAGAGAAACTGACGGCGTTCTCCAGGTCCTTCAGTTTTACGTGTCGGTTGCAAATTTCAACGAAATTTAATTCCAACTACCTATTACAATCCACTTTATACTAATTTTAAACCACGCGTTACCGCCTATAGTAATAAAATAATAACTTCCAATTTCGAAATTCCTATCTCACAGTGCATACAGTTGGATTATGGAGTTATTTGCCTGCTGTAATTCGCGAGACTTTAACAGTGTCAGTAAAATTAAAGACCATCTTTCTTTATATATAAATATGCGTGTGTGTGTGTGTGTGTGTGTGTGTGTGTGTGTGTGTGTGTGTGTGTGTGTGTGTGTGTGTGTGTGTGTGTGTGTGTGTGTGTGTGTGTGTGTGTATGAATCACTGCTATTAATATATAAAAGATAAATAAGAAAACATGAAATATCAAATTTCATGTTTTCTTATTTATAAGAAAACATGAAATATCAAATTTCATGTTTTCTTATTTACTATATCTACGTGTACAGACATGTATAAAGTAATGATATCATATATGCAAAGTATTAATACCAAGGTCTGTAATAATTCCTCTATAGCTGTGAGATAAATACAGGGACGCATTATTAGGTATCAGAAGATGTCGCAGATAGGACACAGAGCACGCATAAGTATTGATTTACATATTTATCAATGAAGCGTTGAAGTTAAAAAGCCTATTATAGCCTAAGTACAGCCATTCAGCTAGTACACGCAGCCAGCGGTCTTGGCACTAAGCCTCGGGGAGTAGGACTGTATGATAATTTAACTATTTGGTTTTAGTTTTTGTTTATTATGGTAATAATTATAGTTTATTTAAATAGATACAGGTTTTCTAACATCGCAGCGAAGGAAATAATTCACAAGCGATCTGACCTTCAACACCGAGGACTTAGAAAACTACGTGAATAAATTGACACCACGTTTAATTCCCGAGTAGCAGTAGTAGGGACGGGAAGCTCTCCTTTCTCAATGCACAAAGGGCGAAGGGCTTAACATTCGTGCTGGCTCAACTTCGCAAGAAATTCATACTTATATGGCATTTGCTATCGCTTTCTCGGGCACCGCTGTAATGTTGCTGAGTTATGAATGGACTGCACATTCGGTGTTTTTTTTTAAATTATATAAGGGTGACTAACGAGCACATAATCCACCTGATGGTATGTGGGAACTATGGCCCATAGACATCTACATTTATTCTCAACTAGCTGTTCCCCGCGACAATCGCCCGCGTGGAATTTATTACGATTGGATTTTATGGGTTTTAATTTTTTTGCGCGGAACCCTAATTTCTTTTCTAAAATAAAAGTAACCTAAGTTACTCCTTATAACATTAGCTATCTGCCAGTGAAAGTCCCATCAAAATCGGTTCTGCCGTTTCGGAGATTTACTGGAACAAACAGACAGATAGACAGGCTGACAGACAGACAGACAAAAATTTTAAAAATTGTTTTTGTTTTAAGTACCGTATATACTTTCAAATGAATTTAGTTAAAGGCTGTTATTTTGACATTACAAACAGACTCTTCAATTTTATTTATTTGTATAGATTAGAGTCAAAATACAGATGCGTTGTCACCCCGAGGACTAAGATGGAATGCCTCGTTTCCATTAAAAAGGGTCTCCGGTTCTCTACACTCACACCACACGAAATACAGCAGAATTAAGCTGCTATTTTACGCTTGTATTCTGTTCTGTGAGAGCGTAGTTCTACCACGGTCGAGCTGACACGTTCATGCTACAACCATATAACCAAAGCGTGGCTTTACTACGTAAATGTAGAAATTGCCACTTAAATTCGCTAGCGAAAAAGACGCTAACGTGCACAGTGCACAATCAGCAATAGTAGCGGCCGCAGCACTTTCATGCAGTAGTGCAAGATGATGAACGTACGATTTCGCAAAATCACGCGGTAGAGACCTTAAACCGCAACCCGCAGGTCCTCCACACCAGCCAGACACTGCGGGTTATTGAGAGAGGCACAACGGCGGATTAAATTAACGCCATGTTTCAAGTCGTCGCCACTGTGGAAAATCTAAATGTGATGTACAACATGCGTGTGCGACTTTATATTGACTAATATACAGGTGTATATCATATATCCGAGTAAACTGTTACAAATCGGAAAGCGTCGGTTAGAAGTGGATGTAGATGGCAAAATTCAATTTTCGTGACGACATAAACCTCAAGTTTTCCCTAATTTAATTAATAATATCCGTAGTGAACCCTCTCAGAAATGAGGAGAGGCCTGTGCCCAGTAGTAGGACGTGTATATAGGCTGTAACTTTTATAGTGAAGTTTAGTTATGTGAGAGATCAGAGCTAACGCCAAAAATGATTCTTCTAATAAACTTAATAATAGGGAGCTTGTCGGTCACTTAGCGGTCAGACCTCGCAGAGTCTGACGTGAGGAATCTATATTTCTCCTGACAATACAGGCGAAACACGTGAATTGTTATCGACTGTCGTGTGTCTGTCGTAGTTTAGTGGTGCTGGAATAATGATGATGGTGGTAGTGCTTGCAATGGTGGGAGTGAGGGAGGTGCTCTTCGTTTATGCTGCTGTTTCATATGGCGAGTGTAGAAGACGGCCCCTTTTTACTTGTAACGAGGCATTTCATTTAAGACCTTAGGGTGACGATATATCTGCGTTTCAATTCGTAATGGAAATAAGGTGTCTGTGAATCACAGCGTCCACTTATTTGAGTTTAGTAATCGGTTTCATGTCTTCATATTTGTAATAATGTATTTGTGTACTTAAAATTAAATAAGTTTAATATAATAATAACCACTAAATTTGCTGCTCTTTGAATTGCTTATAATCAGGCTTGCTGGGATAAGTATTAATATAAAATAAGTAGTATCCTTCTACGAAAATCTCTTTTTTTAACTATTACCAATACGTCAGAGACTAACTACATCACCAAGCTCAAAAGCCTGTTCACTCTTGACTACCCCGTTGGTCTAGAAGTCATGAGGGTTCGAATCTCGGGTCATGTCAAAATAAATTATTGGGTTTATCTGTCAAGAAATTCTCAATAGCAACCAGAGTCAGGAAGTTGGCCGTGTCTCACCCACGTGCCTCGCAAAACGTAAAGCCGTAGCTCCTGCGACTGACCTCTCTCCAGCCGTGTCAGATTGCTGTCCCACCAGACTAGCGCTCCTTGCGCTCACACACGTACAATAAAATCCTGTCTTGCGTA